TCGTGGACGCAGGCCCTTAGAAATAGGAAAAAAGAATAGGGAAGCGAGTCAAACCGGGATAGGAGGAAGTCAACCTTGGTAGAAGCGGATCGGAGCTCGTTTCGCTGGCGGCGCATTTGTTCCCGTACTCCGCGCACCTCCCACATTTATATACATTTTATTTCTCAACAATCCGACGCGCGCGGTACCTTTCCAGAGGGGAGGAAAGAAAAGAGAGCGACTGTTCTCCATTGCGTCATTCGCGCGGACAAGTCGACTCGCGCAATCCCGCGGACCGAGCGAGAGTCACTCTCGCCGCTCGAGACGCGTGTCGTAGGCCCGCACACTTGTACTAGCATCTGTTTATACGTACCTACGTGTCACCCGCGGGACACCAGGGGGTCGATCAGGTCCGGGGCGCAGGAGGTCCGCGTGGCGAGCGCGTAGCCACCGGTGACGGACCGCGGGGGACAGCCGGCATTTGTCGCGAGAGAAGACGACGAACGGACTCGTTTCGCCCGGACGGACCGGCCGGTCGGACGCGGACGCGTGCGCGTGCGCGCGCACGCACGCGGGCGCGATAATTCGCGGGTTTAAATCACGGTCATTCCACTCGCGCGCGACCTTGTTCGAGAGCGGTAGAAAAAACGCAGCGACGCAACGGCGGGCGCCACAGTTTTCGCCTCCATTCCCGCGTGGCGATGCGCGGGGACCCCCTCGGTCCCTCACCTGCCGTTCTCCACCCGCTCCTTTTCCTGTTCCTGGAGCGTAGAAGAGCGAGCGGGAGACGCCTTGCCACCCCGCGTCCCTCCGTCTCTCTCGAGAACACTCGAGAGAGAGAGAGAGAGAGATTCCGTCCGCCCGCCGCCGAGATTCTTCGGCTTCGCTCTCCTCCTCTCGGCGCCCGCGCCGCCTCTCTCCTTAAAATTCCTTCGCGCCGGCTTCAACCACCGTGCCGGCTAAGAATATTCCGCCGTTGACGCGCGACAACTTCAGACGGCGCGCTCGCGCGGCCAACTTCGCGCCGCGGGCCCCCCGAGCCTACTCGTCGCCGCGAGCAGGCTGAACGTCGCCGTGAACGACGCTCGACAACGGCGGGCGCGATCGATCGACCCGCGCGCTCGATCGTCGATCCCCCCGGCGGGAGACCTTTCTCGCTTCGACTCGCATTCGCCACGTTCACCTCGATAACAAAACCGGGTCGGGCGAGCGTGACTCACGCCCGGCGGGCCTCGCGCGGTCGACGGACGCGGCGAATTTTATTATCGCGCTCCTCGCCTCGCCCCGATTCGCGAACCGCGGGCCGAAGGACGGCCGCGGCGCCCGCGATCCGATAACGAAATCGATAACGCAAATTACTTCTCACTCCGGATCCGCGAGAGCGCGATCTTTTGGTGGCACCGGGGAGGGGACTCCGCGGGGAAAGGGTTTCTTCCCTTTTTTTCACCCTCTCGCGCGCTCTCTCTCTCTCTACCTTTTTCGTTGATATTGTCCGCGCGGGACAAGCGAACAATTGCAAACGCGACGTACTACTCGCGAGACACGCGCGAGAGATACTCGTCCCTTCGCCGGCGATTCGCTTCGAGAGAACGACCGCTCGTTTCTCTCTCTCTCTCTCTCTTTCTCTCGCGCACTTGTTTACTATCCTTCTCCGTCGACTCGTTTCCTCCCTCCCGCCCCACTCCTTTTCTCTCTCTCTCTCTCTCTTTGTCCTTAAATTGTCCTCCCCCGCGCTTCTTCCTTCGTTCTCCCCTCCTCAGATCCAGCTCTTTTTATTCCCTCCCTTATCCGCCGATCTTTTTCTTATTGTTTTTTCCTTCCTCTTTCACTGTCGCAACGAGCGCGTGCCACGTAACCGCTCTATGGGTTTTAAAACGAGTACTTCACGGTGCCCGCGTAAGGCACGCACTGAGAGAGAACGAGCTGCCGACGCGAGCAACGGACTGCGAGTCCGCGTATACACGTCCGTTCACCAATTCAACCGCGAATCCACGCACCCACACGCACGCAAGCGCGAGGTGGCAGAAGGGGAGGAATGGGGAGAGAGGGAGAGAGAAAGAGCGAGAGAATAGGAGGGATCGCGGGTCCGGTCTATTGCGGAGAAAGGGAGACGCACGCGCGCGAGAGAGGGAGAGAGAGAGAGAGAGAGGACAAGAAACGCGACGATCGGAAAGGGGGGAAACGGGAAAGGGAGAAGGGTTGGAAGGAAAGAAACGAGTAAGGCGAACGATCCGGGACGAGGATCGAGACAGATCCCACATCTTGCTCCGGCAATACCATTGACCCCCGTGACACTTATTGCCGGGTTTCGATCGACGTTTTTATAAGAACGTGATTCCCGCCGATGCGCGCTCCTTCCGGAACATCGGTGACCCGTCCGCCGGGAAATCGAGCCTGGCCGACACGCAGAGAAACAGAAACAGAGAGAGAGAGAAGCGAGGGGAGAGCGAATCGCATCGGTATACAAATTCGCTGTAATGCTGTCGCGACGTTAGAGATTATACGACTTGTATACGACGTCGGAATTTGAACTTGTCCGGTATATATCGATTTTTCTCGATCGCGTATTTAAACAATTGTGAGAACGTCGTTCGATTCAACTCGACGAAAACGATCGTCGGGATCGCGATCCGTCGAGCAACTAATATCGGATAGCACTGTTCGACAAAAAGAAAGCACAAGAACGAGATTGATATCGCGGCTACACGCAGTAAACACAAATGTAACTTTTACATAACGTAGATGTAATAAGTAGCCAGTTACGCAACGCAAATGTAACCGCTGCAAACTGCGTTTAAGTGTAATATCCCACACAGCAAAACAAGTTTCAGAAAGCTTTCCGAAAGGTAACTTGGAAATTAATATTGAAATGTAATATAGAAATCATTCAGAAATATTTCTGAAGCATTTAAGAGATATTTCTGAAGCATTTCAGAAATATTTCCGACGCATTTCAGAAATATTTCCGAAGTAATTAAGAGATATTTCTGAAGCATTTCAGAAATATTTCAGAAACATTTATGATATCTCATCTACGCGGACATTTCATGTATCTGAAACATGTCTGAAATATTTTTTTGAAAGGTTTCATATTTCATTGACAGCTTTTTGAGAGCTTCCTGAAATATTTCGGTGCTGTGTGGGATATGTCAAAATGCCTGCTAAAATAGCAGCCCCTTTTGCGACTGCGATTGCAAATTTCGAAAAATTGCAACGCGATAAGGTAATTTGATAAGCGGGATTGTATTCAGTGTCGAAAAACTGGACGATCGTTGTTGCGTTTGAAAGAAAGTGATTTTTTTAACGTCAGCGTTTTCTCGACCACACCTGGCATTTTTAATGATACAGAAAATTTCTTGCGAAAAATATCACCTCAGCCAGGGTTTGAACCTGGACCTCCCTACACTCTGAGCGTCGAGTAGTCTAAAGTAATTTTTTGTTGAACAGAGTAAGTTAATTGAAATAATAATAATCGACAGCGGAATCGTAGAGACTATCGTGCTGCCTCACGGTCTCCCTGTGGCAAGAGGGAGATAACGGGAGGAGATGAGCCATCACGAGGTGAGGGAGAGAGACACAGAAAGAGGACGCGAAGGCGGACGTGGAAGCGTCGAGATTGGTCGAACCTTGGATCCAGCGATGCCGTTTGCGGACAATCGCTGGATCTACCAGCTCAGGTGCAACTGTTGCCATAAATCTACAGCCTAAGATCGAATTTAAACAAGATTAGCAAAGCACATGGACTGAGTAGTAAAACAAACGGACATTTTCTAGCCGAGAAGAAACGTGAAAAATTTCAAACGAGAAACGAAATGTACCGTTGATCGGAAAAGATCGGACAGATCGATCTGCTCTGTATTTGATTATTAAGGAAACCATCGTATAAAATTTGCCCAACACGTCACACATTGCAGTTACAACGTGACGAAATGGAACAAAATATTTTGCCACTTTACTAGATCGACGGCATGATACGGTATTTAATAAATGGAATCATATCTGGCATCTAAAGAACTGTGTAAAACGATTACCTTCGTTCTTGTACACTTTTTTGTCGAACAGTATTATCATCGCACAGTACAAGACACTGCAAATATATTTTTTGAAGTTCATCAAATTTTATTAGAATTACATAGTCCGCAAAAGCGACGTATGACTTTTATATCTATTTTACAATATGTATACACATACGTAATATAGAATTGGTAAATTTCCATATGTATGATAATGATACGGGCTTTAGCATCTTGTCAATGTGTGCGTTTGTCTTTCCTTGAAACCAATTCATCAAGTTTCCTTTCTAACAAGTCGGCGTCTAATCGGTGTTTGCACAGATATTGACCTTCTAAAAAGAGGACTGGTATGTCGTACCTATACAATTTAAAATAGCATTCGTTTCCTTGAGCAGCGATGTCGACTTCCTCCAACTGATAACGACCGGCGAAGCGTATACGCAGCTCGTTTTTTAAAACATCGCAAAGTGGACACGGGCTTTTTGTGTACAATGTTAATTTTGGCGGGGAGGATACCGGATGACACCTAAAAATCATACAAGCATGCTTCCTCCTTTGAGAGATTTCTTTTGCACCTTACAGTTCAATATAAAAATCAATCAAACTGCCAAGGAAAAAGAATTTATTTCCATATATTAACATAATAACACAGTAAAGGATACAACGAGACATATTTGGGCTTTGAGCAACAATAAAAAGTATGTAGTAAAAATATACAATAAGAAAATATATTTTTGTATATTTTTAAGTATTTTTCCATATATTTCGTGGTCGCGTTTAGCAGACATTTCATACGTATGTACATCTATCGTAGAAAAATGTAAAATACTATTTTATATAACAATCTTATTTGTAAAAACTTACAAATGAGAAAAGCTATGAAGCTTTTCGTCTACAATATTGTTTCAACAGTTTCAGGGTGTAAGGATAATTGTTTCTTTTTATCACGCTTCATATTATCGATGATAAAGATAGATCGCCCGGTTCGCGCATACTGTAAATGGCAGCCATTGATGATTTGCGAACTTACAGTTTCTCAATCAGGATTGACGATGCACCGCCGCCCCCGTTGCAAATTGACGCAACGCCTTTTTCCCCGGCCTTGAGAGCGTGCACCAAGTGCACTACGATACGTGCTCCTGACATGCTGCAAGATTTATATTAATTTTTTTTTAATACACGTTAAGGCACTCGAAATAATGAAACGTATTCAAATAAAACAGAACAAATCAAATGAGACACGAGAACGCTACATTTTCGGTCCGAGCAAGATGTGAGTGGCCCAATAATTTTAATTTAATATGTGAATTACCATTTGAATTTACATATTGAAAGTATTGGGCTATCCACATCTTGCTCGGGCCCAAAACTAGACAGCATCATCAATCTAAAAGAAGGTGCGTTTTACTTTTTGCATTGAGAAACACACATTTAGAAACAGGATCAGTCTAACGTCTAGTGCCTTCAGTTTACGTGCTTCTCAGTGCAAAAATTAATCACTCTTTATCACATTCTTTTATACCAATGACACAGTCAAATGTCAATGTTGTAAAGAAAGTTGAGAGTTCGTAAACTTGACAAGGACGAAAACGTCTGCTACGTATCGTGATTTGAAAAAAAAAAAGGATAATTTATAGTCAGTTGTGTCGAGTACCTATTTTTCTGCAAATAACTTACCCTATGGGATGGCCTAGCGAAACGGCACCACCATGGACGTTCACCTTGGCAGGATCAATGTCGAGTAATTTCTGATTTGCCACGACCACCACGCTAAATGCCTCATTGATCTCCCACAGAGCTACGTCGTTTTTATTAACTCCGGCGTTTTGAAGCAGCTAATGGCGTATAAGTAAAAACATGTAGTATCGTTCCTATTCTAGAAAGTCTCCAGCAAGTTATACATCAGTGAGCGACTTACCGGTGGCACAGCGAAAGCCGGTGCAATCGGAAAATCTATAGGATCCGTTGCCGCGTCCTGAAAAGCGACAACTCTAGCCAGAGGCTTCAGGTTCAGTCTTTGAGCAGCGTCGCTCGTCATTAAGACCAAAGCAGCGGCGCCATCATTTAGGGTGGATGCATTTCCGGCCGTCACAGTACCATTCTCTTTCTGCACAAGTGCGAATGCACATGCGAGGGCAAGACAAAGGTTTACAAGTGTGAATAAATGAGCGGTCAGAGCATCCACCTTACCTGGAAAACTGTGCTCAGTTTGCCAAACTTGTCAAAGTTGACTCTCTTATATTCCTCGTCCTCGGTAACACTGACGTCTGGTTTGCCCTTCTTCTGAGGCACACCGACGGATACGAGTTCATCTTTGAACACGTTATTCTCATAAGCCGCCGCGCTGCGTTTGTAACTGCCGATAGCATATTCGTCCTGTTGCTGACGAGTGATGCTAAGCTTCTTGGCCGTGTTCTCGGCGCAATTGCCCATATGACATTTGTTGTAAACATCAGTCAATCCATCAAACACAATGCCGTCCTGTTTAATTTTCTTAACATTAGTAACTTGTATTAATATGCACATTTTCTGGTCCGTATGCGGAAAAAAAACAAGTAGAAGCAGTATAACTCAACCTCGAGTTTTAGTCCACCGTAAGACGTTTCGCCACGCGCTAAATAATATGGCACATTAGACATAGATTCCATACCACCGGCTAGAACGATCTCCTGATGGCCGCACTGCAACGATTGAGACGCCAGCATGACACTTTTCATGCCACTCGCGCAAACCTTGTTCACTGTTGTGCATATCGTCGACTTCGGGAGACCTGACGGCAAAGACAATTAATCTTATCGACGCAACCAGCAAAATAGCTATGAAACTCCAACGCGTAACTTCACGGGCAAATTTTCTGCTACTCGTTCTCTCATTGTTATTGGAAAGATTTGTAAAATACGATTATCAACTGCGACAAGAATATACTTTCTCAAGACCTGCGAATAATGCAGCCTGTCGCGCTGGTGCTTGACCCAAGAAACCCTGACAGACATTGCCCATATATACCTCTTTAACTTGTTCCTTGGTGACGCCAGCTCTTTCGATAGCTGCCTAAGGGAATAACGTGAGTCAGTCGTAACTGACAACGCTTATAATTGACGGTTGACGAGAGTGTCTGTGTCAGATTCTTACCTGCACAGCTACCGCACCAAGCTTAGTGGCCGACACGCTTGATAGAGATCCAAGGAACGAGCCCATTGGAGTGCGTACAGCACTGACTATCACGACGTCATTTAATTTCACCTTGGAGCTGTACAAACGTCTGCCCATGAAATTCATCTGGGGAAAGAAAAGAGAACATTATTTTTCCCACGTGATTTCACTTGAAAACTCAGAGGCTTAAACTTCGACAAAATCGTATTTTCTAAAAATTCTAAAAGCGCGTATCAAAATGTATACAACTCGTATTCGGTTAAGAAGTAACAAGTCATTTTGTCTGACAATGTACTAATGCAATGCAAAGTAGATTGCGTGCACAATATGCTTCGTAACTGCACTTGGAAAAATATTAAACGTACGTCAAGAAGCACGTAGTTTGAAATATATTTTGTAATTAACCAATTGTAACTTACTTTAGCCAGTTTCATTGCCGTCTCCATGATAAACAATTATATTTATTTAAAAAAGGGTATCCTATTGTGCAGCCCACTATCTCGGCTCTGTCAACGCAAAATGGTGTCTCTCAATTGGTTATGTATTATCGCATTTAACCTTTGCCCACTTGGCACGCGAGTATTCATATTTATGACACTCCCTAATCCTACATTCCTCGGAAAGACCATATCTTTATTGCTCCACTTCTCGTTTTTCAAGGTCGATAAATGCCTTTTAATATTGTTGCGCGTCAAGTATCGAGTATTCGGGTCTGTTCGTTGAAATCTGTCCCGGTCTTCTCTCTCCTTCTCTCCAACGCTTAAACGGACCAAGTGGACGGAGTGGACCATCGTGGACACAGGCCTTTACATATATGTTTCCACGAGGCAGAGTTTTAAGTGCAAGAGGTGCGAAAGTGCAGAATCACTCCAGCATCCCCTTAATGCGTTCCCAAACTCATCGAGAAAAGATGTTCAATCTCGCCGTTCGCGCGACCTTCCTAGCCTACATATATATACATATTGTGCGTATACGTTTTGTGCCGCGCTCGGGGGAAGTTAAGAAAATCTTATTAGACAGAAAAGAAGAAATGACCCTCGTGCATTTTGGTATTGTTCGATAGACCGAGTCGTCGCTTGCTCGTCGCTTGCACGTCGCGTGCTCAACAATCGAGAGCGATCTCCCATTACAGACATTACAGTCAGCTGAGCGACGTCGCTCTCCGCGAGTTGACGGAGGGTCGATGTTCGTCCGCACAGTGCGGTCTCGTTGCGGGTAAGAATCTGACGGCGCGAAGATGAACATCGAGGAGAGGAGGCTCAGGACGTTCCGCGAATGGCCGGCGAACGCCGCGGTCGATCCTGTGCGTCTCGCGAAAGCGGGATTTTACTACTCCGGGCACGTCCAGGAGGTGCAATGTTTCCTATGCGGTGCCAAGATCTCCGACTGGAACTACGGTGACCAGGCCATGGGCCGTCATCGGCAGAAGTCGCCCAGCTGTCCCTTCGTCCTCTCTCCGTCCAGCACCTGCAACGTACCGCTGGTGCCGGCTACGGTTGGCAGTGCCGCCGCGGAATCGACGGCTCGTCGCCAGTCGTCGGACTCGCGGCAGTCCGTCAGTGTTCAATGCGATGGCGCGAGCGCGCCGCCGTTGCGGCCGCTCGACTTTGCCAAGGAGTACGTTACCTTCGCGAAAAGGCTGCAGTCATTTAAAAACTGGCCGATAACCAATATTGTCCATCCGGAGAAGCTGGCCATGGCGGGATTTTATTATCTTCAGAAGGAAGACATGGTAAAAACGAGTTATTCTGCTGTATCTACGTATCGTAAGGGTGATATTGAAGGAGAGAGTCTCTTCCTCGTCGTTTGATAACTTTCTTCAGGCCTGCGTCCGCGATCCAAGAGCCTGCGTCCAGGTTCGCGTACCGAGAAATGTATAGCCAATCGATTTGCAGCGTTTGCGGACCAGCTGCGAGTTGACTGGCTACGCATTTCTCGGAACTAGAACTTGGATCAAGCTCCAGCGTCGTGGACAACTGGTGCTCGACTCTTGAATTCATTCGAGAGAGAAACGTATGCGAAAACCCTGCTCTCGCGGGCAAGTTGCGACTTCTCTGTGAGAGCAGAATTTTCGCATACGTTTCTCCTTCGAGTGAATTCAAGAATCGAACCCCCCCCAGGTCTTTACCAGTGCCAGATTTTAACTTACAGATTCGTGCTTTGCAGAAATACGCAATCTCGCAAAATTTCCACCAAAACGGAAGGGACTCCCCTTCGCTATTGCCGTTATAAGTTGTCCAAGTACTTGCAAAGTACGAGACTTTATATGTTATCTGACAATGTTTTATGCTTGCATAACACTTTGTACGAATAACAGGTGGAATGCGCATTTTGCAGAGGTATCCTAATGAATTGGAAACCTGGCGATACTCCGGATTGCGCTCACAGATTCAGTTTCCCTAATTGTGATTTCTATTTGAGACAGGACGTAGGAGATGGTATATTATTGTTTTAGTAATGCTTGAAACGCACGAATATTTCAATTTCGCTTCGACCAAACGTTGTCGATCCTGCACGCCGTCGATTACCAGTTGTGCTTTCATTTCGACAGATCTATTCGGAGTGGTCAGAGTCATGCCTGAGACTATGAAAACAAACTTGACGAAGTTAGGAATAGAGTCGCATAAGGCGCCCCAAAGACCAGAGTATGCGACATACGAAAGAAGATTGCAGACCTTTAGGGACTGGCCCGAAGATCTCATCCAAACCCCCGAGATGTTAGCTGAGGCTGGATTCTATTACGGCGGTCAGAATTATATTTATCTTTTTAAATTGTTAGACCACTCTCTCGCGAGACGTTCGTTCTGGTAACTGATGAACATTTGCGCAGGATACGCGGATCAAGTTAGATGCTTCCATTGCGATGGAGGACTACGAAATTGGCAACCAACGGATGACGTATGGATGGAACACGCGAAGTGGTTTGCAAATTGTGGTTTCATGAATCTTATCTTTGGACAGGAATTTCTCAAAGTTTGCATCAAGACCAGAGAGCCTTTGGATCTTTCGGTAATTGTCACATTTGCTTTTTTTTTAATGATTTCGTGAATTTTAATTGGATAACAATATATACACGCATTGTACACGTGTTTTACACACATTACGCAGTATGTAAGAGAGAAATGTTTTATACTACATATTTTCCGTAATTTCGTTGTGTATACACAGAGTTTCACTAGCCTGCCAGAAGAAAATAATACCACGGAATCTTCAACTGAACCCCTTTCCTCGACTTCACAACCTAACGAATCAGATGTGGTAACATCCTCCGCAGCTGTTGAAAAAGCTTTATCTGTCCCCCTGGTTGCACAATCTAAGGAACCAGATACATCTGTGATAGATGTAGAAACTCCAGTTTTATCTTCTCCCGCGGTTCCGCAATCTAGCAAACCGGATACGGCAGTAGGTGCCACAGAAGCTACTGTTGCATCTCTTCCGACAGTACTGTGTACTGTTAAACCCAGTGTACAACCCAGCGTATCAATAACAAATGCGGCGGTCGAGGAGCTCTTAGAGACCGCTCCAGCCAAGGCAAGTGGAAGTCGTCGAGGTTCCATTAAAATTAGAAAAATTTATGCAATTTATACTTTTATCTCAAACTCCGTGTCGAACAAAGCAGTATCGATGGAAACGTTGACGGCGAAAATCTTTGCCGGTGATTTGGACATGTAACTCCCGTATCTCTAATTATATGATTTTAAATGTAGGCTGCTCTCGAAATTGGGCTACACGTAGGTAGAGTAAAGAGAGCTCTGAAGAAAAGAATGGAGAGCGTTGGCAAACCGTACACGGATGTTGTACAACTCATACAAGATGTTCTATACGATCAAGTTATGGAAGAGGATAATAGGTATGCCAAGCGCGGAGCACGCGGCACGTTGCAAGTGATCGGAGATAATTGGATCGTTGAGGCACCACTGAGAATCGCGGTTTTTTTTCTCTCTCTTTAGGCTCGACGACACCACCTCTAACTCGCCAACCGCGGAATTGAATACCTTGTTTGACCAAGTGACTATGCAAATGACTAATAATTCCGCAAAGGAAAGTAGTACGCGAGAACCTGACGCAATTGAAAGGGACCCCGAGAAGAGGAAAACTGATAACGAATCAGATGATCTTAGTAAGTGACAGATAAATAATATCAAATATTATGACATATTTGGTATTATATGCGACCTATGGAACCAGCTAAACTTTTCTACGAATAGGTTTTATCAGTATCACGCACTATCACGGCTTAGGATACATTCTTTCAGGCATGTTATCAAACCTATCCCTGGAATTAACTGATACAATTTCTTCATACAACATTCTTTTGTTTGAAAGATATCTTCCCCCCTTTATCCCCCTCTCTCTCTCTCTTTCTCTCTCGTGCTCTCTACATCATAAGTATACATAATCTGATTTCTTAGAAAGAATGTGCGCGCGCGCGCACGCACGCCGTATTAAACAGTTGCTTTCTTTCAGTATCTTTGCGGGAGGAAAACAGAAAATTGAAGGAGGCTCGTTTATGCAAAGTCTGTATGGATCACGAACTAGCCGTAGTATTTTTACCTTGTGGGCATTTAGGAACGTGCAACTACTGCGCACCGGCTCTCTCGAACTGTCCGTTATGTAGATTGAGGATTCGTGCTTACGTCCGTGTTTTCTTGTCCTAAATTAGGTTGTACATGCAAATCTAGCGCCGGGTTGTGCGCGATTCATGGTTCGAGATTGGCAGCTCGCTATGTGTGTATGAGAATCGCACGGGACGGCGGAACAGTCTTCGACGAAGTCAAAAGACGCGAATTGTTACGCGTTAGACAGATTTGTGGTAATTCGCGTACACCAGAAATCGCTAACAGGATGTGAAGCATCTGTAACGGCAAACTAAATTTCATGAAATCTACTATCGCAAATAATGAATGACAAATGACAAATCATGAATCGCACATAATTCGGCGCTAGCTCAAGATAGGCCTCTCTAAAAATGTGACGTAGATCAGGCGAAAGCTAAAGAATCGAATTTGAGCCATTCTTTCATTTATTTATGTTATGTGTATTATGTTATATTTTACGTACAAATTGTTTTCTTATATTAATTTTATTTTTAAAACGACAATAACGTAACAATGCACGTTATTTCATTAAGTAAAACTATAAAAAGCGAAAAATAAAGAAACAATAGTTGCAATTGATTACATAGATACTCGACGCTATCGACCTACAATAATTGTTATATGTGCATTATCAACAGTTTTTATAGACTTACAGATAAATGCCATTATTATCGTTGTTAACTTTGCAAAGTGTTACTCTAATATTGTATTAAGATTGTTGGCTCGGAGATAGAACTGCTATATTATTTACATCAATATCTTCGTACGTTAAATGTATAATCGAAAGATATAACCCAGTCGATAAAAAGTGCCAGTTGATATTGTTTATTTAAGCATAGTTAAGATGATACGAGGTGTGAATCAATGTCTTTCTTCGAGGTTATTAAAATTTAAATGGTGTTACTTAAAGCAAGTTTATCAGAGCACGTACAAAAGAGGCGCTTAATACGGTCGATACCGCCCCACGTTGCGTCGTGATAAAGTATATGTGTGTGTATATACTCTCCCACTGATAATATACATCGCAGATAAAATAGCCAAAGCTATAGAAATCAGTACTGCGTTTGTCGAGGGTGAGTAGAAACGAGCGATTGAATTTTTGGACAACTGTCAATTCGATCGTTTTAAGGACGTACGATATCAGAAGTAATATGTACAGCCTCGTACTAATTTCTAGTCCTATCGTTAGCACCGCAAGCTTCAAAAGAGCGAGCTTGGCCGGAATCGTACCAAAGAAAGAAATGAAGAATCAAGTGTCTTCGTACTCGTACAATTTCATTTCGAACGCCGGCGCAGGATGGAAATTAATATAAATGTGATAATCGTGGTGTTTACCTGAGTAAGACCCGGTTTCACCAAACATCACTCAACTTTAATCTTGGTTTCATTCATGTTTGTCTCTTTCTAGAATGACACTTGGAAAGAGACAAAGAACGAATGGAGCTAAGCTTAAAGTTGAGCGACGTTGGCGAGACCGGGCCTAAGAGCACATAACTAGCAGTGTTTAGTATAGGCGAGCCGTTACGTAGGATATCGGAGAAAATATTTTATGTATAGCTGTACGATCGCATGTGGTACAGCAGCATAGAGATTCGTCGCGCAGTTGATGTCACGTGTAGTGTACACTTTTCAAAATATAAAAAATTTCTATACATATTCCCCCCCCGAGTGATTCTTTTTTTTCGTTTCAAGCGACGCGGTCGTCATCGACCGTAGAATTTTATCAAGTCGTATTCCGGACCCGATTACACCTCGACGCTCAAACACGTACTCAGATAACCGCACCGATTGCAGTCGGCGGTTTCCACTTACATTTCCTTCAATATCGCGCAATTCTCGCAATTGATATTAAACGAAACGTGTCTTTCCTAGTACGGAAGCTCTCAGCGTTAAATTTCTCTGTAAAAGTAAAATCAGATTTTTTTTAAATTATTTCTAAGATTCATATAAAAAATTTATAAGATCATTTTCCTCAATATCGCGCGATTTCCGCAATTGGCGTAAACATTTCCTTTAATATCGTTATATCGTCTCGCGGAAGCATAATCAGATTCTCCCTTGCGAGGAAAAAAAAATTACCACGTGCGCGGTCTACCTCTCGCGCTAGTCGTGCATTCGTTAGAAATGAAAAGTGAACAATTGAGCTGATGGCAGAGAACGATCCGTAAACGCTTAAGGTCTGGTATCGCCAACGTCGCATAACTTTAAGCTTAGCTTAATTAATTCTTTATCTCTTTCGGACTGTTACTTTAGAAAGAGACAAACGTGAATTAAACTAATTGCTAGATTAAAGTTAGACGACGTTTGGTGAAACCGAGCCTTTGGGCCAGTTCCACGAACATCGGTTAACTGCTAACCGACAGTTGATTGAATATCTGTCTCTTCTTAGATAATAAGATGGAAAAAGATGGGGAGTCGACTGAACCCCAGTCGACAGGTAACCGATGTTCATATTGTACTAAACACTGGCCCTAAGGGCCAGTTTCACAAACATCGGTTACCTGTTAGCTAGGGTTCAGTCGACTCCTTATCTTTTTCCGTCTTCGGGCCAGTTTCACAAACATCGGTTAACTGCTAACCGAAGATTAATCGATTCTCTGTCTCTGTTTAAATAATAAGATGGAAAAAGATAGGACGTTGACTGAACCCTAGTTAACAGTCAACCGATGTTTGTGAAACTGACCCTTATTATCTAAGAAGCGACAGAGAATCAATTAACCGTCGATTAGCGGTTTACCGATATCTGTGAAACTGGCCCTTATATCCGTCTTCAACTTACATTGTATCTTTTTCTAGTTTTACGAATTGGAAAAAGACAAGAAGTAATTTAAGCCGAGGTTAATCTGCATTGGTAGAAACGGGCATTGGTCGTAGACATGACCCAGCGAGAAACGATTCGTCGATCGATATCGATACGATGTCGATTCGGCTGGGTAAGGCAAGGCGGAGGGAAACGTAAGTCGTATACAACAGCGGCCTTTCACGACTTACAATTCTCTTATAGACGCATCGAATTCGTTGTGCACACGCTTATGCACTTATGCAAATGTGTGTGTGCTCCCCGCTTTAGCCCCCCTGTAGTTTTCGACCACCCTTCCGAAGGCAGGCCCTACGGACAGCTCGGCCAAGGTCGACGGACGGCCAATACCCGCGCTCCCCCCGCCTGCCCTTCGGTGACGTTCTGTCTCCCCACTAGCATGTCCTTCGGGAGAGCGACTCTGCGATTCGGCTTGCCTCGTAAAGACAGCCCTGACCGTTCTCGGGTTTTCCGCACGTGCCGGGGATGGCGGGGATTGGAATTTTACTTCCGTTTCCCTCTCCCTTCCTCTTTCTTTCTTCCCCCCCCCCCTCCTCCTCCTTCCATCCCCTTCAACGTCTTCCCTTTGTTCTGTTTCATCCAGATGAGGAATTTTACTACCAGGTTATTTCATCTCAGAGTCACCCTTTGCCCGTGACCTGTGGTCACGTACAGGTCGTGCGGTGTCGTGCAAAGTCTAGTCCTACTTCTCGCGGGCTTCTCGTCGTTCCGGCCGGTCAACAGGACTGCAAGTGACGTCTCATCTCCGTGAACAATGGAGGACACCCTGCGTAGTAGCAACCCCAATGGAAAGTAAGTGCAACAAAATACACCGGCGCTTACCGTGTACACGCGACCGTGTCGGCTACAAGTCGCGCATCGAATGCGGGGAAAAACAGTGGCGGACACTGCGGACAGTTTAGATAAGAGACATGCACGCGGTTCAGCTCCTCTCCCGCCACCGCCCTAGCCCCTGTTTCCCCTCCGTTAGGCTGATGGCAGACAACTATCCGTGAGCGCTTAAGACTGACGTAGTCGTAGACTTAAGGTAAGGCAGAGAAAAACGTAAGCCGTGGAACACGTGTTCCTTACGGCTTACGTTTTTCTCTGCCTTACCTTAAGTCTACGACTACGTCAGTCTTAAGCGCTTACGGATAGTTGTCTGCCATCAGCCTTACTCTGCCGTTCACGCTGATAAACCTTACAAGTAGTTGACACAATCTTTGCGAAGAATCGATCCGTCGTCCGTGTCGTCATTCGATCGTCTCTCCTTCGCCCTATACCTCCCATACAGCACCGAAGCTTTCAGAAACATATCAGAAACATTGCAACAATGTTTCTGAAAGCTTTTAGTCGCTGAATCCGAATCTGGCCCCCGTTTTCCTCCCATCACGTCAGAATTTTTAGATACCCAATAGAAGACCCATTTTTGGTCTTAAGCAAAAAAACGGAAAAATTCAAGTTTGCCCCTAGGCATTTTGTAACTGATAGAGTAAAGGGTATCATGACACATGTTTACTACTCAGTTTTTCATGCTGATTTCAAGAATGATCGGAAATTTTCAATCACGTTCCGTTTTGAAGATTATTAGCGGTAAAGTTGGAAATACGGTGTTTTCGGATGTTTTACATTACTTCTTCCTTTTATGAGGAATATTATCTGTTATTGAGGTTGACTAGAGTTTGCCGCTGTTTTTTTATTTACTTTTCGTTTAGTTTCGCTGACTCACCTTTTCGGTTAACAGTCAGAGCTCGCGAGAAACGGTCTCAGGGTGGAGTCCCATGGAGCGGAATACGCGGAAGCGGAATCAGCGGATCGCCAATCACAAAACCGTTTCGACGGAATTTTTGAAAGGGCTCTATCAGAATAATCTTGCGATTGGCGATCCGCTGATTCCGCTTCCGCGTATTCCGCTTTATGGGACTCCACCCTCAATCGAGCGAAAGTCGCGAACCTGTGTTCATCTTACTCACGATCGCGAAAGCAGCACTCGTATCACTTTTCATTTTTGTGCTTTTTTTGGTAATTAAATATACCGCTGAAAATAAGTAGTATTTTCCCGTTTTTTTTGCTCAAGATAAAAAATGGGTCATATCTAAAAATTCTGACGTGTTGGGAGAAAACGGAGGCCAGATTCGAATTCAGCGACCAAAATTGCATAAAGTGCACTTGGTTTCATTCCATTAACATGACCCTTGTAGACCTGTGTAATTTGCGAAGCACGCGCTCACGTCACGCGCCTGGCGCCGCGCTGTGTCGGGTGTCCTTGCTCTTTCTCTCTCTCGTACAAAGGCGGCACGGCTTGGTACGCGCGAAACACACCCTTCCCTCGCCCCGTTCTACTCTCCTGCCTGATAACCGTCCGCATTCATCCATTTATCTCTCATTCTTCCGTCCTCTTTCTCTCTTTCGCTTGTCGCGTCTACTGCCGCCGGCCGGCCGGATGGAATTTTTCCTCGCCAAGATCATCCCCGAGATTACTCTCGAACGTGATCGTCCTTGCCGCGACTCGATTCCGCGAAGGGTGGCAGATGGAAGGCTTCGAGGGGGGGGGGGATATCGTCCGCTATCGTTATATTTTAGGGCAGCTGGCTGCCCGGCTAAGAACGGATCGATCCGGAGGGATTGGTTGCAAATCCTTGTCAAAAGAATCGCCGGTTTATTCCGTGCATGTGACACGCATGAACGTATGTAGGATACTACGGCCGGATGTGGCCGCTGTACCGTTCAAACCCGAAACCCAAAAACCACTCGGGCAGAGCACGAAGCTCGTACAGCGACGGCACTTGTCGTTCATTCACTAAAAGTGATGAATAAAGTCGCGGTGATGTCATCATATGCGAGCCCTACGGCTTCCTCCTGCGCGCGCAAGAACGTAAACTGTTCTCGCTTGCCCTTTGAGCGCCGAGTACAATCCTCATTTTCCAAATTGTTCCGTGGCAATTTTAAGGTAATTGTTTCGCGACAGTAATGCTCAAAAGTTTTTTTCCAGACAGGAACCAGCACTCAATTATTACAATGATATATCGTGATACAATATTGTTCTAATCTAAAGAATGCACTTACGATCAATACATAATGCAAAATAGATTCGAGAGATTTATCTCTTACGCTACACTCATGTCCACTGCATAATTCTTCCCGTTTTTCAGTTTTAGCTGTTTATATTGTTGAAACGGAATTTTGATTTTTTTTCCAGTTATTCGTTTGCAAATGCAAATATTAATCAACTAGTAAGAATATTCTTAAAAGTCGCCAGCAGTAATTAACAGCATCAGTGATTTTTATTGACCGTATCTGGCAATTTTTATAATACAGAAAATTTATTGCGAAAAATATTAAGGACCTCAGCTAGGGTTTGAACCTGGACCTCCCTTCTCTCTAGACGGGCGTCTCAACCAATTCGACCACCGAGGCATATGATAATATTAGTCGCAATAACAGTATATAGATGTTGTTTACTAATCTAACCACGAATTACTATGTTCTCAAATAAAAGAAATTATTGCTAGTATTTCATGAAAATGTACAATTTTGTAAAAATTAGTACGAAACTTTATTAGTTCCAAATATTTGGGAAACAATAAAACTTAGAGAATTAAAACATCCGCTTATCTGTATAATATTATAAAAATTAACAATAGTGTTCCAATTCTAGCGTTTTCATGTTGATTTTTATAACACTTTTTAAATTTACGTAGAATTTCTTAGATTCTGGCAGTTATATTTAACTTTCTGATAGAATTTTGTAGAATTATTTCCGGCAGAAAAGTAATCCGACTTTCGCATATTTTGTCATGTTATAAGTGCAACAAACATACGACGTGCTGGAGAAAATCTATTGCTGCCAGGCTGCAGTACGTTATCGTGATTTTCAATCCTCGGAAGGAATTTGTCGTGTCGATTATGATTAAAAAGATTATTTATGAACAATACAATCTGCGTCAACGTAGCAACTTTGCCATTAAGCATCCTGCCAAATATTTGTTAAATTATATCAATAATTATCAGACCGGTATTCAGGCGCGCCGAAAAAGATTTCTAAGGTTTAGAATACTCTCAAATAGCTTCCATTTTGCAATCTTAACGGCAAATTGTGATGCTGTTGACATAAAACCGTTAGCTCAAAAAGCTACACTGACAATCAGTGTACGGGGAAACTATTATTCTTCGTTCTTGTGCTCGAACAAAGGTCATTTTTCCGAAGATCTTTTTTTTTATCGTGTAAGCGTTACGGTTGCGATAATGGATAAAGAGAAAGCTATTGTCAACGTATCTTATTTTGACAATGTTCTGTATTTCAAATATTTAAAAGGCTGTTTGGAGCACCAATCATTTATCAAGTGTCAGGTTCGTTCTATTGTGTCTACGGACCCATTTTTCCTTTGTGACAGCGATTAGGAAATCGTCTGATAGGACTACCAGTCCGTGTGAGCACTACATGTATTTGTCGATGTAACTATGTGTATACGTTTAAAGCGGAATTTTCGAAATTACTGGAAGCCTCTGCCCTCACTAAAAATTTCCGACTTCCGACTTCCGCTTTTCTCTTTTCATTATCGAGAAATAAAATGACCTCTGCAGCGAACGCTTTTTTTTTTAGTAAAACTTTTAATTCAGTTGCAGCTCTAATTTGGTTTGCATGGAACTGACTGGCAATTATTAATCATTGTCTATGTATTATCGCCATTAAGGAGAGTGATTTTGCACCTTTTGCTCCTAGAACTGTTAATGCATGAAGACTAGTTTCCACTAATTGGATTAAATCAGAGAACAGCACGGTGTCGCTAAAATTAAGTTTAGAAGTCTAACAAGAAAACTATTCATTTGAATAAGTTATAGATGTAAATGTAAATACTTTTTATTGATTCCCCTTAGGGTTACAAGGCGTTTTTGAGGGAGCGTGCCCAAATCTCTTATAACACCTCTCTCTATATCCACTTCTCTATGTGGTGATCGAACGAAAAACCAACAATGTTTTGTTTGGTTTTGAACCCAGGTCTTCGGATTACCAGACCACCAGCGCAAAATCCTCTGCGCCACGATCGCCACGAATAAGTTATAGATATCGAATAGATTTTTTGTTAGACTTCTAAACTGTTTATATAGATGAGTAAAAAATTTTCCAGACAGATTTAAATTAATTATTAATTATTACCCATCCGTTAGGCCCGCTCAAGTGTATTTCTCAATAAAATTTGAATAAGCGAACCACTATCAAGTGATTTTGCGTAATATTACATAATCCCTCACAGGAATCAGCGCTATTAATAGTACGTTACAAATAGATTCCGCTTAAAGAAGCGCTTACGGGTACTCTTATCGTTGCCGTAGATAATGTAATTCTTCCTCGTATTTCCGCGATTATTAAGAACTTTTGCATTGCGGAAAATTAAGTGGGAGAATATCATGTATTTATCGCGTAATAATTGTTCGCCGTAAACCGTAACGAGGTGGACGTCCGCGAATGAAATTGTCTCCACCGAGACACGGGGTTCGAAACGTTCCAACGGGAACAATAATTTTCGGATAAGAACGCCAGGATACAAATGCTGCGGAACAGCAGCTTCATATATGGATGCACGTTTTTTACCACCCAGATAATACAATATTTCGTGTAAGACCAAAGCAGAATCCATGTGCTAGCTACTGTTACCGTCCTCCTTGTGTGGTCCCGATAATAAAAACGTTTGGATACCATCGTCCTGTCACGGCTCGTTAGTCCTTTACATTCTTTCGAATTTGTGTTTATGTGATCCTTATCTAACAAAATTACCTTTTTAAAAAAAGGTACGAAAACGGCCAAGTATACGCGTAGAAAGAACAAATATGTAATGAGCAAAATTTTTGTTAAAAAAGTACTCAAATCTATCTTCTCTACAAAAAGGAATGATCTAAAAAAATTGCATCAAGTATAAAAATTGGATTAAAATTGGATGTTATTTATGCGAGCCTTATGAACTATGTTAATTTGCAAAAATATTCATTGAGTCAAACATTTGCTTGCACATTGTCGGCAAAATTGCCGATATACTTGTGACAATAATATTTGCGAAGCTGCCACCATTTTGCCAAAATATTGTCAAAATAAAAATTTTTTTCTTCGCATTTGTTGCCGCCGCAATTGCTGTAAAGTTGCTGTACTCAGTTTGCATATTTTTTGCTTGCAATATTGCATCAAACGAGGACTCGTCTTGTGGGCGACTTGCTCGCAACATTATTTTTTCATTAAATATCCAACGAAATGTTAACTGGACGTTTATCTCGAGCGTTTTGTGTTACTTCGCTTATCTCGGCACACTGTGCCTTCGTGGGTGATAAAATTCCGAATAAGAAATTTCCAGTGGATAGGAAAATTTCCGACGCGACGAAACAGGTATCGCGTTTATGTACCTATACGTGTCGGGGCTGTGGAATGCGTTTTTTGTATTGAAAAGGGAGCGAGAGTGGCGGTAAGAATGTGACGAATTTACTTTATGCACGTAAATCTGCAGAGTATATTTACCTGTTCAGTCATTTGTCATATTTTAACCGTCTGCCGCTACGTGACCGTCCTTCGTTTCCCTCGATAATCTACCCTTTTTAAGAGAGAAAAATTGTACCTTCTTTATCTGCCTTTTCCGCCCCTTATCCTGTCCCAGGTGGTCCCGCATACCAGACATTGAGAAAAAACGCCGGTGCAATCAACAAAGCTGAACTTGCAAAATGCATAGGGCCCGCTAATGGAGGCTACCTGTATGAAGGAATTTGTACCATAACTCACGTTTTGTCTCTCTTCTCCTTAGGATCATCTGTGAAATACCAAAGAGGACGGTAAAGAGCCGTTTATTTCCATTATCGCCAGCCACACGCAAGCAGGAAAAGTTTGGATTTTCACCTATGCGCCAGATTTCGAGCAAGACGCCGTACAGAGATTCGCCAAAGGTGACCGACCATGTGAATTATACGGATTATCGCTTCGAGAGCAAGAGACTGCATTCCTTCAGCGACTGGCTCGTGCCGTTTATGGAACCAAAGAAATTAGCTAAGGCTGGATTTTTCTATAACAAGAAGTATAATGGGGCGCAATGCTTCGCGTGCTCGCTTACGTTGTACAGCTGCCCAAAGGTCGACGACCCTATGTTGAGGCACCGACGTTGGTCCGGCAACTGCGCCTTCGTCCGTAACCTTCCTTGTGGAAACGTGCCGATTGGCGCCGATCCCACCACAATCCCCAAAATTCCAAAACGTAAGGGTGTTTGCGGCATTAAGTACATTCCGTGTTCCGGTCCGGACAACGATCTACAGAAGAAAGTTACGACCAGTTTACCAGTTCCGCCCGTGGAGAACAATATCGAAATGAAAAAGATGTACACAGCCAAATTCAACGACGTGCTGAGCCCGAAGATACCCACGTACGCTAGCTACGAACGGAGATTGGCCTCTTTCGCGACGTGGCCCAAAGCAGCGTGGTTCCAAGCAAAGGAGGACATGGCAGCCGCCGGTTTCTTCTTCTACGACGATCTGTTTGATACGCATTTCGATAAAACGATGTGTTTCTACTGCGAGGGAATCTTAAAGGAATGGTTACCGTCGGACGATCCTGTTGAAGAGCACGCCAGGTGGTTACCCAGATGCGAGTTCATCAAAAAGTTAATTGCGGAGAAAGACCTT